CTGATAAAGATTCAATGATATTGGGACTAGATGCACAAAAAGCATTCGATACTGTAGACTGGTCATTCTTATACAGAGTCTTGTCCCATTTCAAATTTTCTAATAGATTTATAAAGATAATTCAGGAACTATACAACAAACCCACGGGTAAGATTCGGATTAACGGGGGTTATCGGAAGAAATAAAAATTGAACAGGGGTGCAGACAAGGATGCTCCATGTGCCCACTGCTATTCGCCATTTTTATTGAACCTTTAGCACAATGGATTAGACAAAATACTAAAATACATGGCATAAAAATCAACCACAATGAACAAAAATTAGCGCTCTTTGCGGATGATATCTTAATCTTCCTGGCAAGACCCCAGGAATCTCTCCCAGAATTAAATACAGTCTTGTTGGAATATGGAACATTTTCAGGGTACAAACTGAATTCCCATAAATCTCAAGTTTTAACTTTCAAATATTCACCCAGCAATATTGACAAGGAATATTTTAAAATAAATTGGAATATGGACTCAATGGTTTACTTAGGAGTGACCATTCCCAAAGACCCAAAGAATATTGTCTCGGCAAACTATGATCCATTAATGACCAAAATTAAAAATGTTATATCCAGATGGAGCCTGCTGCCCTACCTGGGCCTCACGCAAAGAGTAGAAGCTATCAAAATGATGGTGCTGCCAAAAGTACTCTATTTTTTTCAGACAATACCAGCAGAACCAGACAAATCTATGTTCCAAGAAACTGACAAACTGATTTCAAGATTTATTTGGCAAGGGAAACAACCAAGGACCAGATTTAAAACTTTACAGCTGAGTAAAAGTAAAGGAGGCCTCTCTCTTCCGAACATGAGTAATTACTACAAAGCAGCCCAAATAAACCCTTTGGTGGAGATCTGTGACCCCTCCTACAAAGCAAGATGGAAAGAGATTGAATGCTCAAATAGCGGTGTCCCTTTGCAAGCAGCAATTGGGAATATTGACTTAATAAAAAACCTTAAGGAACTTAATCCCTGTTCTGAAACAGCACTTAAGACCTGGTCAAAGCTAGTAAAAGACAACAGAGTCCTGTTTACCAATCAGATGGATAGCATATGACCAAGATTTTACCCCAAATAAAATAGATAATACCTTTAAAAGATGGATTAACAAGGGTTTAGTAAAATACAATGATTTGTATCATAAAGGCTGTCTGAGGACATTTCAAGACATTAGGCAAAAATATGACCTTGATAACAGAGACTTTTTCCGTTATCTACAAATCCGGCATTATTTAGACAAAACAAATACAGAAGATCCAAGCAGAGCATTTGTTGGAATATTAAATATCTTTCTGAAATCATATCAATCAACTTCCACTACTAAATTAATATCCAAAATGTATGACGAGCTACAAAATCTGGAGGGAGGGGACACGCTATATATTAAGGAGAGATGGGACAAGGAAGGGAACCACCAAATTCACATTGAAGACTGGTTAGATATTTTGAATAACTGCTGGAGATGTACATCTTCACTAACATATAGAGAATTTGCTTGGAAAACTGTTACACGCTTCTTTAAAACACCAGCTCAAAGGGACAGAAATGCAGATAAAACATGCTGGAGGTTATGTGGATCGGAACAAGCAGACCACTTTCATATTCTATGGAGCTGTCCTAAGTTGTCTTCTTACTGGAGGACAATTAAACAAAATGTGGAGACTGTTATTGGAGCCAATCTTACACTAAACTTTGAGATTATGCTTTTAGGCAAACGACCAGATTGTGTAAAGGGATTCTGTAAAACATATATTTTCAATATATTACTAATTGCCAGTAAAAAAGCAATTACTCGGAAATGGATGACGGACAAAATACCCACATTAGAAGACTGGACAAGCATCATTCAAGACATTTGCAAGATGGAGGAATTGACATTTGCATTGAAACTGGAGCAAGACAAATTTGAAAAGTGTTGGACCCCATGGTGGACTTTTATGAATACCAGATCTGAAGCTAGTGAGATTGTGGTGACACCCATTGTTCCTTAGCTACTCTGTTGAACCCTCGGTTTTAAGGGTCATAAAAGTTATTCTAGTGTTGATACTGACTTGTTTTGTTCTTCCTCCTCTCTTCCTTTGAGAGGAGTGAGGAGGAGGGGAAAAGGGGAACACTAAATACTGGAGATGGACAATCACAAGAAGGGGTTAACTGTATTGATTAATATAACAAACTGAATAGATGACTGTACAGGTTTATATCATCTTATGTGAATGGATGAGATGTATATTTTCTATGTTGTTCCTTAATAAAAACTTGAATTTAAAAAAAAGAAATCTGCCAGAGGAACAAAAGTTTTATCAATATTCCAAGAATAATTGACTGAAAATAACCTTTATATCTTATTGAAAAGTTACTTCTGAGTAAATGTTGTATTATTTTTGGTGTAATAAGACATTTTAATCAGAAACTCAACAACAATACCTGGCAGGGTTTTGTGTTTTACAGTGATCTGATTGGCGTCGTTCTCACCTTTACCAGAGTCGGCCCCGGTTTGGAAGCAGCCGGCGCGGCGGTGGGCGCGGCGGTGGGCGTGGCATGCTGGACAGGATGCTGGACAGGTGAACGGGCGAGAGGCTGCTCATTGGCTGAAGCTGGCTTTGGGAAGTCTGCGCTAGGAAGAGGCTGAAGCAGCAGAAACAGAGTTGAATAAACATGTGAGTAAATCCTCCTGAAGCCAGCGGGGGGCGCTCTGTCTCTGACCTGCAGCATGACGATGGCAGGCAGGACTGCGGGCGCCGGGCATGGGGGCGCCGGGCCTGGGGGCGCCGGGCCTGGGGGCGGGGTTTCCGGGACTCTGCTCTCTCCAGGTGAAGGGGCGGAGCCCTGAGACTCCTGGCTGGCCGGTTGCTCCGGAGACACGGCGTCATAGCAGCCGTCCTCCTCCAGAACCTTGGGGTAGTTGACCTGGCCCACTGCGGGTCAGCAGCAGAGCCGTCAGTTTGGGCCGCGCCCAGCAGGGAGCCCCGGCGGCAGCGGCGGCTCACCTATGATGGCCTCCTTGAGGCTGGACGCCACCGGCAGGATGTTCTTCTCCACCAGCTCCATGGGTCCGGGCCGCTGGGCGATCTTCTCGTTCAGGTTGTCGGCCAGCCGCGCCCGCTTCAGCTTCATCTGGGTCGCCTGGAGCGACGGCTCCGCCCCCGTCTCTGCGGGGGGAGGAGCCAAAACGTCGCACTCAGAAAATGGCAACGCATCACATGGCTCTAACTAACAAAGATGGAGGACAGCAGCACCTTGCAGGATGTGCATCCGGACCAGCTCGGCGCGCTCCGGCCGGCTGCGGATCTTGTGCTTCAGGAAGTTTTCCGTCTGAAAACAAGCCAGGATGTCAGCAAACGACTCATCTGATTATCTATTACTGGAATAATAACCAACTAATTTAGAAATCGACTTTTAACTGGAGCATAAAGACGCTAAAAAGGCTGAAATGAGTCCAAATGAAGCCAAAACCGAACAGAAAAATATAAACTTTTAAGATAAAAATCTTCTTCATCTGTAAATCTGCTATAGAAAAACTCCTGATTCACATTCTGGAAAATCTCCTATTAATCCCCTTCAGTGATCAATAATCAGTTCTGCTGCTGCGGCCGGCGCTGAGCTGCAGGGGAATCCTTCGCCTCAAACTTTAGTTTAGGCAACAAAAGGTTTAGGCCAACAATTTTATTTACATCTTTTAATCTATTTCTAACATTTTATAAAAAGACTCAGAAGGTTAAATGGCCCCATTAATCATCACAATAATTGATTACTAACAAGACATAATATTAAACAAACTTTAATAACTTATTAAAACTAGTACAACCGCTAATAAAAGATGCAGATCTTGAGACTTTCTGCTGATCGAGGTTTAAAATGCATCTAAATCACAGAAATAACGTCAAACTAATACTATTATTAATAATGACCAATAATTTATCTCCAACCTTTTCAGGCATGAAAATAAAAGCAGAATTCCCTAAAAGAGATTTTATTTTCTCTGGTTTAATATAACACAGACTGTCAATAATAAGTTTCTGTGTTTCTGACACTTTATTCCAGCGGCAGCCATATTGGATAGTGAACTCAGAGTTTCCATGGTTCCACTCTGAGCAGGAATCTGAAGCGCGTTCAGTGTGGCGTTTTGCTCACCCTGGCTCGCTCCAGGCTGCGGATCTGGCCATGAAACGCTGCTGGACTCTTCAGAGCTGCGACACAAACACAGAGTTCAGTTCTCCTCCTCGCGCTGGAAGACGTCCACCGACTCGGCGCCGAGCGGGCGGCGGCGTTACTCACGCGGCATGATGCCCTGGTCCACCAGCTGCTCCCGGGTCCGGCGCTGCTGCAGCCGCAGCTGCAGAACTGCAGGGAGAGCAGAGACGCGTCACGAAGCAGCGACCACAGAACGCCACGGGCGACCGGGAGCCGCCGCTCAGGTAACCATGGCAACGCATCACTCCAGGCTGGACGCCGCTCTGACCTCATCAGAGACACTTTGAACCAACGGTGCTCAAAGCGCGGCCTGGGGGCCCGATGGCCTGGGGGCCCGGTGGCCTGGGGGCCCGGTGGCCTGGGGGCCCGATGGCCTGGGGGCCCGGTGGCCTGGGGGCCCGGTGGCCTGGGGGCCCGGTGGCCTGGGGGCCCGGTGGCCCGGTGGCCTGGGGGCCCGGTGGCCTGGGGGCCCGGTGGCCTGGGGGCCCGGTGGCCCGGTGGCCTGGGGGCCCATTGGCCCGGTGGCCTGGGGGCCCATTGGCCCGGTGGCCTGGGGGCCCGGTGGCCTGGGGGCCCGGTGGCCTGGGGGCCCGGTGGCCCGGTGGCCTGGGGGCCCGGTGGCCTGGGGGCCCGGTGGCCTGGGGGCCCGGTGGCCCGGTGGCCTGGGGGCCCATTGGCCCGGTGGCCTGGGGGCCCATTGGCCCGGTGGCCTGGGGGCCCGGTGGCCTGGGGGCCCGGTGGCCTGGGGGCCCGGTGGCCCGGTGGCCTGGGGGCCCAGTGGCCTGGGGGCCTGGGGGCCCGATGGCCTGGGGGCCCATTGGCCCGGTGGCCTGGGGGCCTGGGGGCCCATTGGCCTGGGGGCCTGGGGGCCCGTTGGCCTGGGGGCCCGTTGGCTTCGGGGCCCGGTGGCCGCTTACGGCCCTTCAAATGACTCTGGGCGGCCCTTAATCTGAACCCAACAATAATCTGATCTTCAAGAAGAAAACACAGATTTAAAATCAATGTTTCAAAAAAACAGACAACATATTAAAATGAAAAATGTAAGATGTAACAAAACAGTGCTCCGCGCCGCTGCAGGTTCGATTCCCAGTCAGGCGGCCTTTAGCCCCATGTCTTCCCGTTCTCTCTGTCCTGTCCACTCACTATCAAATGAAGGCCACTAGAGCCAGTAAAACCTAAAAACAAAATATAATAGGACACGAAAAGAAAACATCAACCTGAAAAGATGCAAAACCTCAACAAGGAAACGGGCCGCACACATCAACACGGGGCCTAGTCAAAGTATGCAGGGCAACGTTTTCCCAGCAGGCTTCCTGCTGGCGGAAATGTTCTGCTGCTCGGCTCCACAAACACATCATGACCTTTGACCTGAGCCAAAGGGACGACCTCACAGATCTGGAAAGACAACGTCTGGCACAAACTTGGAAAAACACAAGCAACATTGGGGCAGGGGCAACTGAGGGGCAACTGAGGGGCAACGGGGGGGCAACTGAGGGGCAACTGAGGGGCAACGGGGGGGCAACTGAGGGGCAACTGAGGGGCAATGGAAAATGTTGTAATGTTCTCCTCACCTCCTGCTTATCATGAGGCTGGTCAAGCGGCTCTCACAGTGACCTCTGCAGTGACCTCTGCAGTGTCAGATAACAGCAGGAGGTCCTTGATCCTGGAAGCTCTCAATGTTTCTTCCCAACCCAAAACTCTCCTTCCACCCAAGAACAACCCCCGACCTGAACAGCGGACCAATGGGAGACCGTCTGAGCTGGGCTCCACAGAATCCCTGGTTCGTCACAATCAGGGATTCACGGCTCCGGTCCAATCAAGTCTCTTCTCTGACCGGAACCTGAAGCCGGATCCACTGCTGGTCAGACAGACTGACAGACTCCTGTCACTCTGGATTTCTGCTCTCACCTTGCAAGGTTTCAATACTTTTCTATTTTCTTCTCATCCAGACTCTTGTTAAAGTCTTTTCTGACGGGGAATGGAGGGGCAACAGGTATCGGCACAGCAACTCCACTTCAGGAGGAACAGACTTATCTGCGGGGATTTCCTGTGTTTGGTGCCCCTCCCCATCCTGTTGCTGCTTCATCCTGAAGCTGCCAGAGACAGAAACTCTCCTTATGCGGTTCAAATCCCTGCTGACTCAATGACCAGAGACTTTAACTTAACACTAAAACCTATCAACAAGGAAAATATGGAGGAAGAAGCATTTATTTTAGATCAAAACAATCAAAATAATTAAAAATGTTAATCAAGTCCCACCACTATTACTTTGACTTTTCCTCCAATCAGGAAAAGTCAACCTGATACTTAGCATCAGGTTGCTTTGAGATTGTGAGACTTTGAGCTGCTTCCTTTCACTGCTGCAATGTCTAATAAAACCATTGACAGGCTGTCCTTGTGGCACAAACATCCTGATCTAGTGGATCAGAAACTAAGAACTGGAGCAGAAATTACATCCACTAGTTCAAATATTTCTTTCTTTAACTGGTTTTATTTGTCTGAAGTGATTCCCTCCACATGTGATGAATCCCAAGCAAACTGGCTCTCCTCAGAGTGCTTTTAAATTTCTGGGTAGGTTGCCTGTCTGCTAGGTCTCTTTGCTGCCGCTCAGCACACCGTTTCTCCTGATTTCCAAATGTTGGCGCGCTCTTTCTGCTGCTCAGTTAAATTAATCACTTCTTCTGTTTCTCAGTCAGAGGCTGCCGCTCTTTCCTTTACATTTTTTCTTTCTACATATTTTTCAGCTACAGTCATGGAAATTAATGCGACCACAACGAGCTACACGGTCCAACGCAATTTAAAAGGAAAACTGCTTTTTCTTTTAAACGCAGGGAAGATGGCTTCAGAGGCTCGGCGGCATGAGCGCATGTTACTGTTTGCTATTTTTAAACACATTACAACTGATCTGCAAAAATCTTACCAGCTATTTCTGTTTTTAAACGTTTTGTTTGCGCTAGTGGCCATTATCTGAAAGTAGTTTGACAGGAAACAGGGTAATGAGAGGAGGGAAGACATGCAGCAAATCTTGCCTGGCCGGGAATCGAACCTGTGACCACCATCACCAGGACTAAGGCCTCAATAAGGGGTTGTGCTTTGCCCCTGCGCCGCCGCAGCATTTACTTTACAGTAAAATACAGGAGCTTGTTTTGAGTCAGTAAATCCTTAACAGTGATAAAAGAGCAGATTATTTCACTTACAAGGAGAAAATGTAAGTGAAAAATAATCAGTTTATCTAGAAGTTTTTGAAATCAATATTAAGGAACTATTAAGATAAAATGATTTGTAAGTCTCCTGTATTAGGAATCAGCCTGAGAAACAGGAGCAAAAACAGCAGAACAAGAACATGAATAAAAATCCATAAAAACACAAACGTCAGATCAGCAGAACGTCCACTAAACCATTTCCATTCACATCCTCTTCATGCTACTCTTCATCGTCTGGGCCTGACTGAAAACTAAAAACAAGCTCTTGTAACTTGTTGAAAAGTTTCCAATAAGTTAATTTTGTCTTATTCTAAGTGTGTTAAGGTGCTTGTGTTAAAAAACTAGACAGATATTTGTGATTTTGCAGTGAAGGATCCAGAAAAAACATTACATATCAGACATGAAACACAGAGAAGGACAGAAAGTTCAGATCCAGAAGCTGCACTGCGGATTTTAATCTCCATGAAAATAAATCATCAGACAGGAAGGTTTGAGCGAAGCTCGCTCCGACCTGCGGCGGTTTTTACCAGGATGATCCCTCCGCAGGAAAACGCTCCGCAAGTCAAACAGGAAGGTTGCCACGGTTTCAGGAGGATTTAATGAGCGTCGTCGTTTCTGCTGACGGCAGCAGAAGAGCCGCCGACATGGCGACACATCAGCACCTGCCTGGCCGCAGAGAGGGGCTGTCTGCTGGGAAACTGGTGGGACGCTGCCAGTCTGCCTGGGAGAACTGGGATTAAACTGGCCAATCAGATCCAGGCGTGCCGTAACGACCCGGATCTCTGCCGGCCATCTGATCAGAACCAGACGGGTTCAAACACTGGAGGAGTCTGGGAAGGCTAATGATGATGATGGCCTTGTTTCAAGCCAAGATGGAGGAGACGCTGGGTCAACATGCAGCCGATCGTCTTCATAAATATTAATAATAATAAACTCTGGATCAGTTTCAGAAACGTTTTCATCTATATAAACCCAAACGACATTCTTTTTTAAACTTTTTTCTTTCAAATTTGTAACTTTATTCTCGCTGCCGCGGCACCGTCGCTGCGGCAGAGCGTGTTCTCACCGTTCTTGCGCTCGTTGAGTGGCGGCAGGCTCTGCGTGGGCTGCAGCGACAGCTCCTCCATCTCGTGGGTCACCGCCTCGCTCTGTGGACTTGGCACTAGCAGGCTGGATATCCCACAATCCCCCTCTGCTGCGAGCTGCTGCTGGGACGCCCAGGGCTCCATGCTGCCTCTGGAGGGGGCGGCCGGGGAGAGCGAGAGAGAGCGGTCTGGGTCACCGGCCCTTTAAGCAAGGCAGCCTGCAGGGAGAAGACATGTCAACAGGAAGTAGAAACTGTGTCTGGAGCGAAGCAGCTTGATGTTCCTGTTGGCCTCAAAGCTGCAGGAACTTTTATAAAAAAACATTTTGAACACATGTATTTAATCCGACTCCATGTTGTTACGGCTTAATATGAAATAGATGATCTGAACAGGTCGCTCTCTGAACTGCTGCTGTCTGAAGAAATGAACGGAAAACAGCCAATTAGAGACAGGGGGCAGGGCTTATTGCTGTTATGCACTAAGCCCCGCCCCCTGGCTAATGTTTTTTTTTTTAATTCATTGATTTGTTTTTTTCTTTTTGCATTATTCTATTGTTTATTCTGATCTTTGTAATTTTTCCAGAGGAAAGAAAGTGAAAATTATTGTTTCATTTATCATAATGCACAGGTCTCCTTATCTTTTAAGTTTGAAATCATGATGCTGTGACTAAATGTTTTGTAAAATTTGCTTCATTGGGAATCAATAAAGATAAAATAAAGTTAAAAGTGTGAAAACAGAGCAGGAGGCGGAGTCACAAATAACCTGAAATATTTGGAGAATAATGGTTTCTTACGCAGCAGCAGACGATGACATCATGACGACAACGGAAACTTTAAGAATAGAAACGGGTCAAATTTCTTCCTGCTCTGGCTGCAGAAACAGGAAGACGAACAAAGATTAAAACAAACTCGCTCCGATTCATTTTCCTGGACGGAAAACAAACCGGAAAAGTCAAACATCAGAAGAAGGAAACGGATCGAACTGAGCGCTCAGCTTCCATCAGGCAGCGACCGCGTCGCCCTAATGAGGCCCGCTGAGGAACATCCAAATGCTGCTGCAGCTGCTGCTCCTGCAGCTGCTGCAGCAGGTGTGAAAACCAGCAGGGACCAAAAGTCATGATGATGATGATGATGAAGCAGCACTTGGAAACGTGTTTTATCTTAATAGTTCCTGCATTGAACATGCAGAGCTGCAGCCGGGGCTGATGGGAAATTTAATGAGCATAACGGCTACAAAATTCAGTTAATGGTGGAAAAATAAAAGTTTACGCTAAAGCTACGATCACACGCAGGAAAACGCGACTCAAATGCGACTTTTCACCCAAAACAAAACCCAAATCAGACTGTTACTCATCGGCAGAGGCTGCAGTCAGAGGCTGCAGTCAGAGGCCGCAGTCAGAGGCTGCAGTCAGAGGCCGCAGTCAGAGGCTGCAGTCAGAAGCCGCAGTCAGAGGCCGCAGTCAGAAGCCGCAGTCAGAGGCCGCAGTCAGAGGCCGCAGTCAGAAGCCGCAGTCAGAAGCCGCAGTCAGAGGCTGCAGTCAGAAGCCGCAGTCAGAGGCCGCAGTCAGAGGCCGCAGTCAAAAGCCGCAGTCAGAGGCCGCAGTCAGAGGCCGCAGTCAGAGGCCGCAGTCAGAAGCCGCAGTCAGAGGCCGCAGTCAGAGGCCGCAGTCAGAAGCCGCAGTCAGAGGCCGCAGTCAGAAGTCGGAGTCAGAGGCCGCAGTCAGAAGCCGCAGTCAGAAGCCGCAGTCAGAGGCCGCAGTCAGAGGCCGCAGTCAGAGGCTGCAGTCAGAGGCCGCAGTCAGAGGCTGCAGTCAGAGGCTGCAGTCAGAAGCTGCAGTCAGAGGCTGCAGTCAGAGGCCGCAGTCAGAGGCTGCAGTCAGAGGCCGCGCAGTCAGAGGCCGCAGTCAGAAGCCGCAGTCAGAGGCCGCAGTCAGAGGCCGCAGTCAGAAGCCGCAGTCAGAAGCCGCAGTCAGAGGCCGCAGTCAGAGGCTGCAGTCAGAGGCTGCAGTCAGAGGCCGCAGTCAGAGGCTGCAGTCAGAGGCTGCAGTCAGAAGCTGCAGTCAGAGGCTGCAGTCAGAGGCCGCAGTCAGAGGCTGCAGTCAGAGGCCGCAGTCAGAAGCCGCAGTCAGAAGCCGCAGTCAGAGGCCGCAGTCAGAGGCCGCAGTCAGAGGCTGCAGTCAGAGGCTGCAGTCAGAGGCTGCAGTCAGAAGCCGCAGTCAGAAGCTGCAGTCAGAGGCTGCAGTCAGAAGCTGCAGTCAGAGGCTGCAGTCAGAAGCCGCAGTCAGAAGCTGCAGTCAGAGGCTGCAGTCAGAAGCTGCAGTCAGAGGCTGCAGTCAGAAGCTGCAGTCAGAGGCCGCAGTCAGAGGCTGCAGTCAGAGGCCGCAGTCAGAGGCTGCAGTCAGAGGCTGCAGTCAGAGGCCGCAGTCAGAGGCTGCAGTCAGAGGCCGCAGTCAGAGGCTGCAGTCAGAGGCTGCAGTCAGAGGCTGCAGTCAGAGGCCGCAGTCAGAGGCTGCAGTCAGAGGCTGCAGTCAGAGGCCGCAGTCAGAGGCTGCAGTCAGAGGCCGCAGTCAGAGGCTGCAGTCAGAGGCTGCAGTCAGAGGCTGCAGTCAGAGGCTGCAGTCAGAAGCTGCAGTCAGAGGCTGCAACACTGACCTCTACAGGACACCAGCCACGCCGCCTCTTAGTGACGCAGCAACGGTTCATTTTTGAGGTGAACAGTTCGCTGTAAGAAATGATTTTCAAACCATTTCTAACTTTTAATTTTTGGGTAATTTTTCTAACATTTGATCCATTAATCATTCAAGTTTTAGTCATTAATCTGAAGTGGGTCTGACCCGCCCCCTCTGGAACTGGGCCAGGCCGTCGTCACGCCCCGAGCTCTGTATTCAAACCATTGATTCATATCTGGTTCAATAATAACGTCCAGATTCATAATCATTATTTCAGTCACGAGCATCAACATAAGCGGTTCTAACTGGATGAATTGGTCCATCACATTAGCTTCTCCTCTCATCCATTCATAAAGTTCTGATTGCCTGAAGCCACACAGTATAAAACAGGCTTTTATTTTAGAACTGGATTTCCTGCTAAAGGAAAGAAAACATTTATTTTGAAAGGAATAAAATGTGTCGTTTTAAGCTGGTCAAACTGGAGAAAGAAATGACTCAATGACGTTAGGGTTAAACGTCAAATTTGGAGAGTTCAATGATCAGATGGGAAGACTTTCACAAGCAAAGCAAAGGAGGGAAAGAAATGGAGGGAGAGAATGGCGGCCATGTTGGATAGATGGATGTCAGCAGGTTGAGCGGAGGAGGGTGAGGAGGAGAAGGAGAGCTGCAGATCCAGATGGCGGCGCAGCGTGTTGCTCTGACGGCTTCATCTCAGACACAAATCAGCAGCAGAAGAAGAAGAATGCCTCACACCTGTAGGGAAGGTTCAGGTAACCAGCTAACACAGTGCTGCAGCAACACATCATCAGGCAGCAAGCCTGAGTCCACGCCCACAACACCCAGGGCGACGCCCACAACACCATCAATCATCATCAGAGACGTCATAAATCTATGTCACCTGATCTGATCACAAAAACAGAGAAGCTGTGACTGATTGATTATTACTTTACTCATTGATCGGCACATTTTGCAGAATTGTTACTGAAGCTTAATTTATGCTGATTAAAAATACAAATAATCCAATTCTTTTTTAAAATGAGAAATTTCACATTTTATTTTCTTTGTTTCAATAACAGCATTCCTTTAATGAATGATGAATCTGCAGCTAAAAAATTATTCTAACATGAGAACAACTGATCGTCAATACAAAGCAGAGCTGATCAGTTAATGGTTAACTGATCAATAACTGGATGAAAAGTGATTAATATGAGATTATTTTACAGAACTTGAACCAGGAGAAGCTAAAACTGAACTAGAGTTCAGAGAACAGATTTATAGATAAATTATATTTTCACCTTAAATTCTAAATGTTTTTTGTAAAGTTTTGGCTCTGAATAAGTTTTATTTTCAGATGCTCTATACTAAAGTTAATGATCAATGGATTACTGAAGTAGATTTATTTTCACCTGGTTTTTTGCTTTGTTTCATTTGGAGCGGACCAGTCAAATCTTTGAGGGAGTTCAAGATTAGGGTGATGGTGCAGAGTCCTGCAGAAAGATGAAGGTCAATGATGATTTCTGATGATGACTGAGCAGTTTCATTATGTTAAATATTTATCAGCATCTCTGAATAAAACAAATGATTTGTTTCTAGAAGTGGAAATCCTCTGAAGGGTTTCTGACCACAGATGCTATGTCTCATTTCCTGTCACAAACAGGAAATGTAAATAGAAATCTGTATAATATGGGTCCTGACTGTGTATGTAAAGCATTGGGATAAGAGCTGAACAAGGTCGTAATTCAGCTCAGGGTGTGTCCGTTTCCTCTCCCACGGCCTAATCAAAGATTACACTAGTCCAGCAAAATGAAAGAGGTTTCAAATCTGCCACACAAAAACAAAAACCCCTGAAAATTAATCTCAGATGGAGAAACAGAAAACTGGGCTCCATGGCAGTGACAGATCAATATTTCATAATCCTGATTTCAACAAAGAACAGGTTCAAAAATGAGGAAATGAGAGCAATAACAGACAGGCGTCTCCACAACAGCAACACAGGAAAGGAGGTCAAAGGTCAGCTCTCCTATGAACAGGCCTGGATGAGAGGAATGCCAGAGATAAAGACCCAGAAAGAAAGAATCAACAAACCACCAGGACAAGTTCAGATTAATAATCACCCAGAAATAAAAACGCACGACCTGTGAAGAGGAAAACAGTGGATTTAAATAATCCACCATCTGTGAGACAGGAGAACTTTTCTGGAGACGCTGAGCTGATCACCGGAAGGGGAGATGAAGCAGAAATGTCCTACTTAAAGCTCAGACTGAACCTTTATCTGGTAGAAAATCACAGTTAAAACTGAGACTCTAAAACTGAGAAATATATTTAAATTTTATTCATATTCTTAAAAATCTGGCCTTTTCCAGGAGAATCAAGGCACCTCAGCAACAGCCTTCAGTGTGGAAGTTGAAGCCGAGGAACGCTAGCTGTTAGCATCATCACCTGTTGGTTTACAGTTTGTATTAATTTTATCGGGATATTAAAAAAGGTCCACCTACCGCATGACGTCACTTCCTGCCCACATCCTTTCTGCCTGATGCATTAAAGCGCATTTTATTATTTATCTGGAGCCTCAAGACTGTTTCATGTGAGAAGGAGGAACTTTTTCACACAACGTGTTAACTTAGCATACCGTGCAAACCTCTGGAGAACAAACCAGCCACCTGGCAACCAGGTGAGGTTTCTCTGAGCTGAGTGACATCACCGTGGGACCGCTGGTGGGAGTGAGTGGGTGTGGGATAAGCTAGCACTGGCTAGCTACTTTAAACCTGACAGGTGAGACTCAAACCGCCAGGTGTCAAAGGTGAAGCGGCAACTGTCATTTCCAGAAAAACGTCCCACGGTAGTGAGCCCACTCTCCCACGCATCCCCGGGTAGTTTCTCCCCACGCTCGCCTCCTGTCGCGCAGTGTCACATCCCGACCCGTTCCCCAACAACAACCTCCTCCGGTTAGCTCCAGTTAGCTCTCTCAGGCTAGCAGGCTAAAAACAAGCCAGACCCGGCTAGTGGGCTCTTACCGAACTCTGTCGACTCGAAAGCAGAACCCATCCGAGCCGTGGATCAGGACATGTCCATCGGGCTGGAGCAGATTTTTCTCTTCCTGCCGTCTCAGTACAAGGCTGAAGTTTATTTTGCGGAGTAAAATGGCTGCGCCTCGTCTGGCTCCGGGATGCAGTGACGTCAAGACGTTGGAGGGGGAAGAGGGCGTGGCCTCCTCATGGATTCACACACAGGAAAAGAAAACTTATTGAGACACGATGCCAGACTGAATTTATAAAACTCTATAATCAGATTTGTATTTAAATTATTGTATTTAAATACAATAATTAGACCGGAATCTGAGCAAAAATGTAAAAAGTAATAGTTATTTTACTTCAACATATTTTTAACCAAGAAAAAAGCTAAAAGTAACCATCCAAGGAATTATGGGAGTAAAAAGTATTTGATAAAAAGGCAAATCAAGTATCCAGTAACTGATCCCATTATAAGACAAAACAAAACTAAAGTTATCTGTAAATGTTGGTTTTTAAAGACAACAACAAAAAAATCCAGGGATGAAAAAAATTTAACCAATGAAAAAAAGAATTACTTACAGGAGGTAATATTGAAAGAAAATTCATTTCATTGGATCTTTAAAAAATGGACAAAACATGAATTCATCTCATTATTTTCAACATGAGCATAAAATTAGAGTTTGGTTTGAGACATTTTAAGTAAAAAGTAAGTCTTTATTCCAGGGTTCCAAGCTTTAATAAAAAATAAATAAAAGCATAATTTTCAGTAATGTCACACATAGAAAGCTCAACAAGAGTCCAATTTATTCTACAATAATTTCACTTTCTTCCTATAAAATATAAAACATCTTTCATGACGTCAGTTTGTGTTTGTGCGCGGCAGCTGGAGCATCTGCAGCGTTGTGCAGGAACTCATGCAGCATCCTGGCGTTGTTGGCGTTCCCCAGAGCGGCTGCCAGCTCCGCCAGGCTGCGCCTCGCCAGCTCCGCCAGGCTGCCGGCGCTTCTAACCAGCGCCCGGTAGTTCTTGGCGTTGACGCCCGGCATCTTCATCAGGAAATCGTACGGCCCGGGATTGTAGAGGTCCGCCGACTCACCGGCGGCGTCCGACTCAGCCGTGACGGCCTGGGCGGCGGCGGCGTCCGGCTCGGGCCGGCCCAGCTTCAGCTCCTGGAAGAGCTCTGCGGTGGCGTGCGGCGACGGGCACCACAGGATCCGAAGGCGGGGGAAGTGCAGCGTGAGCAACGTGAGCTTGGAGGAGACGTCGGCGGAGGAGATTTCGCTGCGGAAGTCGGAGCGGGCCGTCAGGGAGAACGGCTTGGCCGGGTCGAACTCGATCAGCAGCAGCGGCTTCCGGTAGCAGCGCGTCATGGCGAGGCACTGCGCGTAGAGCCGGCCGCTCTGCAGCGAGCCGATCAGGTCGCTGACACTCTTCCTCTCCACGCAGGTGTCGGGCGTCAGGATGTAGTCGCCCACCTGCAGCGTGACGGGCTCGATGTCCAGGCCGCGGCGGTGCAGCAGCGCCGGCAGCTCGCTGCGGAACTCCCGCATGTCCACTATCACCCTGGAGGGCGCGGCGCCCGGCTCCTGGCCCCCTGCAGGCCGAGGCAGGAAGGACAGCCATCATTTTTACACATTTACTGAAACTGTCACCAGGTTGACAGGTGATCTGTTTCTGCTAACAAATAATCAGAGCCAGGAGGCGGGTCTTAGCGCTGCCATCATGGCCCTGCTCTCTGCTACGCTGAAGTTAGCATAGCATGATGTCAATGCTAAGTCTAGTTAGCATAGCCACTGATGATGCTATGCTAAATCTTTAATGTTCAAAAATGTGTAGATTTAGCAGCGAATACATGAGCCTGATTGGCAGCACTAAGCTCCGCCTCCTGACTCTGACTGGTTGTTTAGCTCAGTGAGGAGGTTGATCTTTTCACAGATTGATAAATATTTAGGAAGATGTTTTTATAAAAGTGAAGCTGCAGATTTACTGTGTGAACATGAACCTGGATGCTGCTGTACACAATCATAAATTCTGCTTTGAGACGATGAAACGTTGCAGTTTTTGGTTTCACAGTGAGGCTTGATGAGCTGAACCAAACGGACCTGCTCTCCTGCTGTTGGTGGCGCTGTTGGCGGCTCTAAACTCCTGGCTAAGTCCAGGTTGGTGTTCTCTCGCCCCTCTCTCTCCTCGGGGATCACCATGGTAGCTTTTCTCTGCATAGATATATACACACAGACAGTGAGTAGATATACACACTCAGCCAGGCGTTGAGGTCAAAGGTCGGCTCTTGCGCCCGGTTCTGACCTGATCAGAAGCTCGAAGGCCTTCTTTTCGTGGGACAGCGCTGTGAGGTACCTCTGCTCCTCGGTGGAGCCGCCGTAGATCAGGAAGTAGACGCGCAGCGGCTTCCCGGGCCGGCCGGCTCTGTGGACCTCCAGCTGGCGGACGAAGCTCAGCTCGGCGTCATACAGAACCACGAATGCGGGTTGGACCTCCTGCAGAACCCGGGTCAGGCTGTGCGGGTCGGAGCAGCCTCAGAGGGTGGATGACTGTCAGCGGCTCCTTCAGGACGCCGTAGTAGGAATCAGACGACAGGTTCAGGTTCAGCTGCTCCTCCTCTTCCTCCATCAGGTGCTCTTCATCATCATCGCCGCCCCGTGCCTCCTCTTCCTCTTCCTTCCTCATCATCTGGGTCAGCGTCAGAGAAGCTCGGCTTTTCCCCGTCTTGGTGCTTTGTTTCTGCGCCGGTTCTTTCCCCTTCCCTCCTTTTTTTACCCGACCTTTCCCCTTTTTCAGTGAGTCGGGGTCAAAGGTTGCAGCCGCCGAAGCAGGGTCCCGTTTCCCAACGGTCCGGGCGTAAAGCCGGTTCAGCAGCCAATCTGAGCCGTGCTTGATTAACTGGTGCAGCTGCGCGCAGGTCCGGTCGTCGCTGGCGCAGATCAGAACCCGACCTGCAGGCGCAGAGACAGACTTCCTGTTTGTAACAGGAAGGAGTATTCTCAGCCCTTGCACGGGGCGCACTAACTGAAACGGCACAGAAGCTCCAGCTACGTTTCTTTAAAATGTCACCAAATCTGTGACAGTGTGACAGCTGCTGTTTCTGTACAGTGATTCCAGTTTGTGAAGCTTTATGGAATCACAGCAGCTTCATGTCTAGCATGTCAGGTTCTGGAAACAAGATCCTCCAGTTGCCCACAAACAAACCAAATATCTTTATCTTATTATCCTAACAGCAGAAGACTGATCTAGTTCCACTGGGAGATTATTTATAACAAAACAAAACAGAGCCTCCTCATCAGCATGAAGGATTACTGAGTGAAACCAGCTGCTCTATAACTGATACATAAATAAGAAGTATAAGTTAGTTTGATCTTATTTTAAGTTTACTAAGATATTTCTATTAAAAACTAAACCAAAAACTCCCTGAACATCTGTGGGAAGATTTCCAGAAATAATAAAAGATATTATCAGGTGGAGAGTTTTAACGAAAATAATCCAGATTATTTAACGAAAATAATCCAGATTATTTAACGAAAATAATCCAGATTATTTAACGAAAATAATCCAGATTATTTAACGAAAATAATCCAGATTATTTAACGAAAATAATCCAGATTATTTAACGAAATAATCCAATTATTTTCGAAAATAATCCAGGTTATTTTACGAAAATAATCCAGGTTATTTAACGAAATAATCCAGATTATTTAACGAAATAATCCAGATTATTTAACGAAAATAATCCAGATTATTTAACGAAAATAATCCAGATTATTTAACGAAAATAATCCAGATTATTTACGAAATATAATCCAGATTATTTTTACGAAAATAATCCAGATTATTTAACGAAAATAATCCAGATTATTTAATGAAAAGTTTATCCAGGTGTCGTGCCATCAGCAGCTCTCACCTGGTTCCTGCTGAGCGTTCTGGTTCTCCTTCTTGATCTCGTCCAGAACCTCAGTCAGAACCTCCCACTTTGGACTCTTCTCCAGCACCAGCTCCCGCTTGACCTCTGGAACACGCTGACCTTCAGAAAATCAGACAGGAAGTGTGCGTCGCGGACAGGAAGTGTGTGTCGCGAACAGGAAGTGTGCGTTGCGGACAGGAAATTGTACCTTTGTGATTCTCGGCGGTCAGTTTGGGTTTCTTCCCGCCGTCAGGGCAGCGGTACACTCGGCTCCTGGCGTTGACAAACATGGCGTTGCTGCAGTCCAGGAAGAGCCAGCCTGACGGAACCGAAGGAGAAAAGTCAGAGCAGCGAAACGTTCAGTGACCTCACATGACCCCTGCCGAGTGTTTCTGGGATTTAAGCACGAAGCAGCTGATGAAGGTGAAGAGGATGAACGTTTTCATGTTTTATCACAGATCCTCAGAATTATTTCAGTCTGAACTTTGACTAGGACATTCTAACCGCTGAGTTTTATTTGATAATTGAATACAAATTTTACTCATCAAATACATCATAATGTAACTGTAAGGCAGACCTTCTTGTTTCTTTGTGCTGATTGTTTTCTTCTAGATGATTTGTGTTTGGTAAAAGCAGATCTATGTTTATAGATCTCATTACTCCAAAGCAGAAATGTTAATGAACCAGAATCCAGTTTTTGTACCTCTTTATTTTAAATGTCTGTAATAAATCTGCTCCTGCGTTACAGAATGGAGGTTTAAATTAGATTAACTGGTTCAGAATTATCAAATAAATTTGCAATTCAGGAAATTTATGTTTAAATGTCAATTCATCTGATATCAGACATTGGTACTGGAGGTCGTAGATCGGTGCGTTTCAAGGTGGTTTAGTTTGTCTGACCTGAGTTGGAGCCGAAGGTCTTCTGGCTGGAGCGCAGCGACTCCAGCAGGTTGAGGAAGGTGACGCAGTCGTACTGGGTGAGGTAGAGGAGCAGAACCCGGAGGACCTTCAGGTCTTGGACCAGCGCCTTGGTCTTGGCTCCCAGCTGGTGCCACAGCGGGTCCAGATAGTGACGGATCGTCTGGAGACGAAGAAGCAGACCATGAAGGAACGTGGAGGCGGCTGAGCAGGAGAAACGAGCTTTGCTCCTCAGTCGAAACCTTCTCAAAGGTGTTGCCCAGCGCGTTCTCCAGCGACAGGTCCTCGGCCTCCAGGCTGGGGTTGTAGCGCTTCA